GTCCGACATAAGGTTTGTGTGAAAAGGTGAGGACAAAGACGGGAAAGAAGACAAGAGAAAGAACAGTGCACACATCACAGAAGAGCCACATTTTACAAGGTTGTTTTGCAACTGTCTAAAGGTTGTTTGCCGTTTTTTAAAATAGTATGCGTCAGTTATCAGTTTAAGGACTACGCCGTGAATGGACAAACAGAAACATGCAAGGACATAGTTTGCACTCTGCAAAGGAAATTCCCTGGTAAAACCAGTGAATGGCGGTTTTGTAGAATAATGTGAACTTGCAAAACTCGTCTATCCTGTAGATTCAGTGTCTGTCTGCGTTTTCTATTTCTCTCCTCTCCACCTCCCTGTGACCCAGTTCTGCCGCACTGCTGCACACATCATTACGTGTCCCACTGAGATCCTCTCCAGACACGTCCCAGAGAGTACACATGGAAACACACACATGCAATACATCCACCTGCAAACATCCAGACAAATGTACACACACGCAGGCACCTGTTACTGGAAGGCTGACTATAAATAGACATTAGGTCAAAGACACTAAACTTGCAAAGTATCAGTCAACACTGAGGCTTCATGACTGATTAAAACCAGTTATGGGTGTAACCCCAGTATACCAGGAATGAGCTGCACTTGGTCACATTTTCGGAGTGTTTGTGCAATCGATCAGTGAACCCACGGTAAGAGTGCAGCTATTTATCCAACTGCGGCTGCACTGAAGTTCAAAGGCATTTGACATCTGACTGTTATGCAAGTGAAAAAGGACATAATGCAAAAACGTGACACTGCACAATCAATGATATTACAAAAAAGGGATTATTTAGTATTTTTCCATCAAGATATAGGTTATCAATCACACGCAATATGTCTTGCCAGTTCATATTAAACACTAATCCATAGTGCTAGTACCAAGTTGGACATCGCATGCACTGACAAAGGTACTGGGAACATTCCAATGTTGCAGATTTGTCCTCATCTGCCTCAGCCCAAAGGTGCTCTATTGGATTGAGATCTGGTGACTATGAAGGCACTTGGAGCACACTGAAGTCCTTGTCATGTTCAAAAAACCGATTTGAGACAACTTCAGCTTTGTGGCTAGGTAGGCTGTGGTGTTTAAACAATGCTCGGCTGGTACTAAGAAGCCCGAAGTGTGCAAGAAAATATCCCCACACCGTTATACCAACAGCAGTCTGAACCATTGCTACAAGGCAGGATGGACCCATGTTTTCACGCTGTTAATGCCAAATCTGACATTAACATCTGAATATTGAAGCAGAAGAGCGTCAGAGGAGAGAGACTCATCACATCAAAAAGACTGATTACAATTTTTGTTTCCAATCTTCTACAGGCCAATTTTGGTGAGTCAGTGTGAACTGTAGCATCAGTTTCCTGTTCTTTGCTGACAGGAGTGGCTCTCAGTGTGGTCTTCTGCCGCTTCAAGATACCACTTTCAAGGCTCTCTTCTCCATTCTGATGCTGAGGTTGAACTTCAGCAGGCCTCACTCCTTGGTGGCTGCTTATTGGGGCCTGGAGCCTGGGGCTCGCTCGGGCCACTTCGGAGGTGGGGTGCCCCCGGCCTCTCGGCCTGGGGCTCGGTCACTCAGGACAGCTGGCTGCCGGCGGAGCTCACGGGCTCGTCACTGCAACTCCCCCTGGCTTCTGCTCCGCGGCTGCTGAGTGAGCCCTCATCTGGGACTCTCCTCAGCTCTTTCTGGGACAGTGGCGCGGCTGCCCCTCTGTTGGTCTTCCTTGGTCTCTTGTGTTCTGGGGGCCTCTGGATGTCTGGAGTTTTGATCTCCTCCATACCTGCTTCATGCCCTGGAGGACGGGGCTGTGGCCCCCCCACACCCTCTAGCAGATCATTACATGAAGGAACCTTTTAAAAACAAGCGCGTCCATGCTCACAGGTGTACACACGGGTGCTCACACACACAAACTACACCCTTTTTGGCTCCTACCTCAAAGCACACTGTGCGCTGTCGATATTACGTGCTGCACAATAATGTTTAATATTTAGTATTTACTGTTATATTCCCATAGATCATCGTGATGTTGTTTATTGTATTGCTCTCGTTTTCTTCTGCTTGTTTTCTTTTTTCTTTCTCAACAGGTGATCCAGGTGATTGATATATGTATTTTTTTGTCTGCTTATTTAGTTGGTTTTTGTTTTTTTGCCCTTTATCCCCGTCCCTCTTCTCCGCTGTTTTTCCCCTCTTCCTTTCTCCCTTTCTTTTCCTCATTCAAGTCTGTCCCGTATCTAGCAAGTGAAAATAAAAATAAATAAAAATAAAAAAGGTGAATCAAATAGACCATTACGGCAAGGCTGGGATGGTCAATTTGGTAAAGTAAATCCGTTGGGCATCTTTCTTTGCCTTTAGACAATAATTCTGATGGCAAAAGAGCCAAACGGGACAGGCAAAAAAAAAAAAAAAAAAAAAAGAACTTCAGCAGGCCAACTTGATCTTGTCTAAATTTATCTCTATCTGCTGAAATAGCTCAGTTGGAAAAGCGTTAGATGGAAGATCTAAAGATCCCCGGTTTCAGCAATTAGGAGTTACCCTTAAGCTTTTCTCCCCCCAAGATTAATAAGTTAATGTGTTTCTAAATGTACTAAATTGTTGTCATGTGGTTGGCTGATTTGATTATTGCAGTGCAAAAGTGAGAAGTTGAGCAAGTGTTCCTAATAAAATAGCTACAAGTGTAAAACATTCAATACATTTTCATTAAAATAAATAAAATCAAGCTAAACCTGTATGAGAATATATGAATGTGCTTACCCATGTTGAGCAACCCTTCCATTATAGATCCAAACCTACTGTTTCACTGTCCGATTCTTTCTCCAGTCTACTTTTGTTTTAGCTTCTCTTGGATTTTGTTGTGTAATTTATTTTCTCCCAATTTCTCAATCCAATTCCTCTGTCTTTGTCCTTTACAGCACTAATGTTATTGACTGGTCTTGTGTCACCTGAACAAGCCTGTTCATGTCTCTTTCATTCATCTTTCTTTCGCCCCTCTGCTGCCCCCTCATCTATCTCTCCTCCCACTCACACCATCTGGACTGGGTCCACACAGCATGCAACAGTTGCATGATTGGGCTGAGTTAGCATAAGAGAGCCAATCTGACCTGGCTACAAATGATGCTAAAAATGGAAAATCTTTGCCAGACTGGTAAGCCAACAGAGTACACTACAGTACAAAAGGACACCGGTGTCCTGCACCGTTGCAAATTATATAACCCCAACCTTGACCTCAGAATGTGAACTCCAAGCCAAACATATTTACTCATGCTATTATGTATTTGTATAAATTGTCAATGTATTATTAGTAGAAAATAACCAACAATAACTTCTCACTTATAAAGGAAAAGAACTAAATACATGCTTCACTGTAGTTCTTCCAATGGTTTTAGTTTGCTGTAAACAAATTATCTTCAACATTTTTGGAACATTTGAGAACAAATAATTATGCTTAACAAGTAGGTCAGTAAAGAAAACAGTTATCAGTTGCAGCTGAAGTTGTATAACCTGAATTTATAATCTGAACATTTCCAAGAACACCACTTTAACATTATTTCAGTGCGTCAGCACCATGAAGACTTTGCTGGAGATCCAGGAGGTCCCAGGATAACTGGTCACTTTTACATTGCACAGACCCCGTAGCTATAGTTACAGAGTTAAAAGGAAAAACGCTACACCAAGCAACATCATCCCAACTGTTTAATTTTTTTAATACTAGATTCTGTTTTCTGATGGAATTAAACAAGAAACCAAAATAAGAAAAAAGTTTACAGCTGGAGTAGAATAAACACCATCCACAATCTGGCATTCCTAATTTATTTCTTAATAATTCCCTATAGCTGATCTGTTGGGAGCAATAACATAATTAAATAATTATCAGCACACGACGTATAAAGCTTTTGCGAAGAAATCTCTCAGAGTAGATATTGGGCCTCTTCTTGCTTCTCGCATGCTTAAATGGATGTAAATGTTATTCCCTCTTTCATAGTGTTTATTCACAACAGCAGCTATTAGAAATCAGTAGGACTGATAAGAGGTGTTATTGAAGACTAAGACTTTGAAAAATGAGGTTACACGTAGAGGCGACGTGGCTTGTAGTTAAGGAGCACTTTGCGTCTGCGCGGAGCCTCACTTTGCAGAGCTGAGTCCGCGCATAGAGTGGACTGGTGGGTGTAAATCGTTAGCCAAAGGACAAACAGCACTTTGGTCCTGAGTTGACTGTTTAAAATCTAACCCTGCAGCCATCTAACGTGCAAAGCACACACCTCCGTAACATCTACTAATGCTACGCTTGCAGTAATTATCAGACGGGGTAAAGGTCGATTTTACGCATTGGCACCAAAGTGCAACTTCAATTTGCAATATGAACTGAATACTCGAACAGCATTGTTCGAGTATCAAAACTCCCCCCCCACGTGGCTCCTGCATTGAGTTCTTTTTAAACTTGATCGAGAGTTGCAGGAAAAAAAGAGGAATACACAAAGCGATCAATAACCGCCGCAGCGACGGAAATAATCTGCAAGATTTTTTTTAGCTATAAAACAAAGAGAAACAATCATAAGAGGTGGATACAGGAGCGAGCCCCGATAAGCAGAATTAAGTAATTACTTGGCCCAAACAGCGTATTTTCATTACGATGAGAAGTTGCAATGTTTAGAAGAGAAGTAACGAACCTCTCGGATCTCTCCTCGAGCAGGTAACAAGTGCTGGGTGAATAGGGGCAGGGTACAAAAGTAAATGAATGGGCAGGTGTGAGCTTTACTGCCACCTGATGGATATATGTTAATGCTGCACCTGTGGGTGCTGCCTTTGTCACGACGAAAACAATAACAACAGTGGATAAAATTCATCTTTATTTATCTTCATTCCAATGCAAAGTGTGTAAGGACGTTTAAAAAGCTCTTTATTAGGAATAATCGGAAATAAATTATTAAAGCGCGCAAACCCTACGTGATTAAACTTGTCAAATGGTAACAGCATGACTCTCCTCTGAGCATGTGTGTGTGTCAGAGCTTGCTGAAAGTAATCCTCGGCGGAGTCTCGGGCTGGAGGATGAGGGTGACTGTGGTGTTGAGGTCCTCTGAGGACGGCACGCTGAGATGGAAGCTCAGCAGGATCTAGACATGCAGAGAGGGAGGAGGCAGGAGAGGGGAGGGGTGGAAGCATCAAGAAAGAGAGGAAGAGAGAGCAGAGACGTTTACAGGGATTAAAATCATGCTACAGTGAGGGGCGGAATAGAAATAGGTGTATCTGCTCAAAATGCTTTCGTTTCTCTTCGGGTGAACTATAATTTAATGAAACAAACTTTACTTCGCATTTATTTGAGAGATTTTCTTACTGGTTGAATAAACATATTCCATCTAAAGTTTTAGGATTTGAAAACAGTGTTAAACTTTACAATTTGTTTTTTTCCTCCATTGATCACCCTGTTTCCATGAAACATGAACCAATGAAGTTGCCCAACACTGCAGGAGGTTTCTTGTTATTAAAAGGGAGTTTTTCTTTCCCACTGTTGCAAATTGTTTGCCTGTAGTGATTGTTGATTGTTGGAGTTTCTCTGTTTTACTGTAGGGCCTTCACCTTACAATATTAAGCACCTTGAGCCAGCTGTTCTTATGGTTTGGAACTATATAAATTCAAGTGTATTGAATTGAACTTGTTTATAACTAATGTTTATAACTATTAATGTAGCTATTAACTTCACTGTAACCAGTAATGTAAAGTGGTCCTTATAGGGAACCGAATCATTAATTCACTGCAAAACAATGATTTATAAAGCACTGAGTGAACTGAAGTCTTCTATTCTTTTAAATGCACAGCTTTTACTTCTTACCAGCCTTATAACTGAGCTCTCATGTTTCCACTTCTTCCTGTCCTCTTGCATCATTGTCCTTTCACTTTCATCCCATCCCAAAACTTGCTTTCTTGCTTCCTTACTCCTCCCCTTTCACTTTTTTGCTGTCACTCACATGCATGAGAAAAAGTTGCATCTCGCTCTCAGCAATCCTCCTCCCGACACACTGCCTCGCCCCGAAGCCAAATGCCAGTGAGCGAAATCCTGCGGCTTCCACCCTTTGGCCCTCTTCTCTGCTCCACCGGCTGGGGTCAAAGCGCAGTGGATCCTCAAACACTTTTTCACTTCTACCCATTGGGTAAATACAGGCCTGGACCAAAGTCTGAGGAGAATTCACCACCAAACGCATGTTAGTCAGATGAATGTATATGAATGTCTATGTGAGTGCAACAGAAAGAATCAGAGTTACAGTCCAAACACTCACCCCAGCAGGTATGTGGTAGTTCTGGAGAACGATGTCTCTGACTGGATACCGCTGCACTGTAATTCCCACCGGGTACAACCTAAACCAAAAGCAATCCAGACATTGAAAGCTTAAAATTTCTGACACATTACCTTTGAATCCTCCATTAGTTGAGTTGTCTGACATAATCAAGATTTCTGGTAATCAATTCTCATTTAGGTGCCTTTTGATAAACACAGACACTCAGACAGCTGATGATTTTTTTTTCCATACATGAGTTGAAGGAAAAATTAGTTTCTTCTTGTCTATATATAATATGTGTCATACATTAATTACTGTACAATATTCCTGTGTGAAATTTCCAGTGACAACTTTTGATTATTATTTAGAAAAACCCTGTAGCTAGCTAGGGTCAGGGTCATTACTGGTCGCATGAGGTGGATCTGGACCCTACAGAGGGTGCACAGGTAGTCCAGCTTAATTCCGTTGTTTTCGTTCAAATTCTGTTCTTTTCATTCAAATTCCATTGTTTGTTCTCAAATTCTGTTCTTTTCATTCTAATTCTTTTTTTTTTATATAATTCAAGTATTTATTAGATTTTGCATTTTATAACAGCAAATACAGAGATGCAACAACCAAAAGCAAGAAGCAAACAAACAAAAACAAACAAACAAAATAAATAAATAACTAAAATAAATAAATAAATAAATAAATT